TTACTTTAGGTGATCATGTCCTTTGGCTCACAGCATGGCGTACTCTTCCGGATGAGGCTGCAGCCATGTCACCAGGAGCCCCCTTCTCTGCTGCCCCTCTGGTCTTCTCCACTCACTGTTTGTAGGGGTCTGGCCTTCCCCTTCCTGTCACCTGACCAGCAGGCAGGCCTGAGCCTTAACCCCTACCTGACCGGCTGGCCATGACTGGAAGGTTCTAGATTTAAAGGGACCACCCTGTCTCTTGGTAACAGGGCTAGGGTTCCCTGTTACACTCCCTTAAGAAACAAGCAGTCATCATGAACTCCCCTCCCTGTCAAATCATGGCCTCTCAAGGCTTCAAGAGCAAGCCTCCTGAACTTGTGAAAGTTGGGTTTCCTAAAGTCAAGGACACTGCATTGCTGGCTGACTTGCCAGCTTTGGGATGGATAGCAAAAGCGATCAACCCATGGTCACTATCACGCCACTTCCCGTCAATTCTTAGATTGCTGATTAGATCATCTCCTTTGGCCAGTACCAGGTCCAGCAGCACCTTACCCCTTTTTGGCCCATAAACTTCTTGAGACAGGTAGAACTCATCCACACATTTGAGGAAGATTTGAGACCAATCAGATTTGGCCCGAGTGCTCTTCCTATACGATATCCAGGTAGTTGAAGTCTCCGATGACAACCACCATGCACCAAGAGCTTGCAGCCTTGGCCAGTTCCCTGGCAAATTCATGGTCAAGCTTTTGTTTCTGATTTGGAAGTGTGTAGTACACTCCTACCATTGTACCCCTTTGCCACGTTGCCCTCGTATTCTAACACAGAGGGTCTCCAGTCATCCTTCTTGGGTGCCAATCTCAGCTTGTAGGGATGTGTAGCTTTCTGACACATAGAGAGCTACACCCCTGTCTTGTTTTTCAGCACGCTCTCTCCTGTACAGGGTATTGCCATTTATAACCATAGTTCAGTCATAGGAGGAGTCCCACCAGGTCTTTGTTATCCCTATGAGATCATGGTCATTTTTGTTTAGCAGAAGGACCAGTTCCTCCTGTTTATTCCCCAAACTCCTGGCATTAGTGTACAGGCAAGTAAGTATGCCATTGGAAGCCTTAGGCTTCCTGGCACTAATGGAGAAGCTCTGCTCCTGGGCTAGGGTAGGAGTGGGTTCCCTTGAGCATCCTAACCTGTTGATTTTGTGGTTGATGCTTGGTGACCTTGCTCTGGTAGTTGTCTACCCATCCCCCAGTGAGCTTTGTTTAAAGCCTGGTTGAGCAGGTTAGCCATTCTGGCTGAGAAGAGTTTCTTCCACAATGGAGTGAGGTGGAGGCCATCTCTTCCTCCACCCCCAAAAATTCCTTGGCCATCTCATAACAGCAGAGACTCCCTATGACTGATGAAGGGTCCTTTTGCCCCAAAGCTTGCAAAGAACTTTTTTCAATCTACTTAGTTGGTCTAATAAAATATATCATATCTACCCGAAGAAGCTTGCCTGCCTATGTCCTTAGACAACCAAAAACCCTACAATTCCTTTGCAACTTTTCCAGCTTGAACTATAGTTGGCTGGCAGTCTCTCCAAGCAAAGCAGAATTTCCTACATTCTCCATATTCTTGTAAAAAAAAATATTCCTTTAAATATTCTTTAAATTCTATTTCTCCTACTTTGGACTCATTTGAACTTGTTGTCAGATAGTTGATTGGAGCATTGAATGATGTTGTTGAGAAAGCACATTTCTGGCATAGAACTGACTACTGAAAACAGGCCTCAGTACAACTGGTAAGTCAAACACTGCTATCTCTACCATGATAACTGAGTAATTGGGCACGGGAACAGTAACAGCACTGCTGCTCAATCCACTGAGTCTAACTGTCATACCAGTCATTTTCCAGCAACAGTCCCCTGGGCAAAAAGATATCATGGATTGTGGATTAGCCTGTATAGACACCATCTCTCATTTCATGATAAACCGGTGTTTTGAGCTCTCTCTCATTTCATTCACTGGCCACGGTTTACTCAGTTCAGCTCAGCTCACTGCAAGTCCATTCGTAGCATCGGAAGAAGTAGATATAGGCCTCACTGGAACATTAATCAATATATATACTGCTTACACAAAGTCTTTGCTAAAGCATTGGCCAGAGTAGGCCTGATCAATGAATCTGACTGATGCATGAACTCCTTACATAAGCAAAACTTGGCATGTGGTTCAGTTGTGCACATCTGCCAGAAGATGGGAGGAAGAGATGGCTGTACAAGGTGTAGGATACTAGGATGATGAGGATAGAACAGGAACATGCAGATCATGACATGGAACAAGCCCATGACAAGGGACAGCTTAAGATATTCAAAACCTTGATGCAATATAATATGTCATTTGATGTGTTCACTGTGTACAAGGAGAATTAGAAATTATGGGAACTTAGTATTGGCCTAGGGGAGCCTACGTGGCATTGTGCCAATACCTTGTCATGGGTGTACATGCATTAACACCTTGTCTGTCAAAGCACAAGCACGTTAGGACCACATCTTGTAGACAATAAATCTAGTCGAGCTCTTGCCACTGACCTGAGCCTGTGGCTGTTCTTTAAGACAAGATTGGTGTTGGGATCTGCTGGCTGTCACTTTTTGCCAGCACCACAGTCCCTGAGACTTCAACACTGATATAACATCAATGGATCACACATCCACACCGGATGGATGAGGGCAGCAACGATGACAGTAGGCTGTAGCCTATGAAAGCTCATGCCTCTCTGAATGAGACACCCGTTCTGCTTCCTGCCTAGCTTCTAACACAACTAATCGCCTCTCCCAGTTCGGTAATAAAGCATGGTTGTAAACACTTCCCCTGGGGCTGACAGCAGTACTTTCATGCCACACATCTGAATTTGTGTTCCAGGTGCTGTTCCCAAGCCCCAATAAAGTAATTAGTTTGGGCAATAACCTTGCAAGCCATCCCTGTAACACGGCTCTTCATTTGCCATGCAAAAGCAAAGGAGCTAATACCGCTGCAGCAGAGGCCACTGCACTGAGACTAGGAGTGACTCTTCCCGTTCAACCACACCAGCACAGTCAAGGCAGTACAACCCCCGGCATTAACAAGCCCTCGGTCACTGCCAGCCACAAACGGGGACAGAACCAGGTTTGGTAATGTCCTGCGACCAGTTTAATCAAGGTGGGAGATCTCCGGTGCTCATCTAGAATATATTTAAATATTCGACCTAACAACAGCTTACATCTAGATGAACGGATTGTGATTTCACAGCCGTGTCCTTGATATACAAATTAAATGCAGACACATTCAGGTGACAGCTGGTTTAAAAATCGCTTTGGCCTTTAGGCATGTTTGCTACCTTTCATGAGGAACAGGGTCGATCGGCATTTGAGATCCAGGTCCAGCCCCACCAAGCTGAACAATCCCTCCAGACCAGCAAGGAAGGCCAGGTCAAGAGCAGGCCTGGTTTGTGTCAGCGTTGCTCTGTGTGGACATCCCATTAACCAAGCCTCCACACAAGAGGTCAGGCCTGAAAGTGGTTGACCCCCCACCCCACCTGGGGGAGCTAGGGCCAGTGCATGATACTAGACAAGCCCTTCTATACCCGGTAAACCATAATTCATATGAATTAGCCACACAGCAAACTTTATTTTCAAGAGGAGACTGGACGGTCACCTTGCTGGGGTCACTTGACCGCAGTTGTCTTTCCTGCTTGGTGCAGGGGGGCTGGACTCAATGGTCTTCTGATGTTGCTTCCAGCCTCTGATCTATGAATCACGTTTCTGATAAGAGCAATATGACAAATGAGAATAAAATACAGGTAATGCCTTATGTGAGTATATCCAGATATATCTATTTCCAGGTGTTCTCTCTACCTGGGATCTCTTGTGCACATCTAGACAATCTTTCACAAAAGCAGGATGTTGGCCGATTTGGTCCCCTTGCTTTACCGGGGGCAGGCTAAGGTGTTATGCCTTGCGTTATGTCAGGGTTGACAGTAGTTTTACTAAGAGGGTAGATTATGGATTTGTATAGGATGGCTTGGATAGGAACGAAAGTTTCCAGCCCTACTTTTCTATGATTTCTAGGTGGCCAATCTGCCAAGAGGATCTTACTCAAAATAGAGAGCAAGATCTAAGAGGTGCAGGATTAGTAGACATCGACAGATGGGAACCGCAGCAAAGGATGCAGGAGGAGCACATCCTTGATCCCTGACCCTTTTTTATCCCCATAGTAACACTTACAAAATCACCTGATTGAAACCTGAACTAAATATGGTCATAAAAAGATACCATTATGTCACTCAGTTAACCAAAATGATACACACTGATCCAATCTTTTTACCAGGATTAAATGTTCTGAGACTGGATAATTTTCCAAGTATTTCACACCAGGGGACTTAGCTCTAATTAAGCTATGCAATATAGCATGAATAAAGCAGATCTAACTTAACAGTCTTTAAAGCCTACTAAAACACTACTCTGGATAACTAACCCAAGTTTTTTAACACGGTCTATTAGTGAAGATGCAGAGAACGGTCACAGACCATCGAATAACCCAGGCACCGTCTTCACCCTGTTTTGTAGATCTGATCTGACTGGGAATGCTGGGGCTTGGCCATTCATCATGTTGTCTACTTTTCCTGAAGAACTGGTTTTAAGGTGCAATTTGTTTGACAAACCCCCCAGCTTCTTTCACCTGACAACCTCTTGCACAGTTGGATCAAATTTCTGGGCCACTTTGAAAGCTGAGCTGTGCCGGAGAAGCAGAGAGTAAAGTACATTTCCCTAACAGGAACAGAACTGACATCTGAAAATAAACTGACAGTGGATTCTGACTCCATAAGCCTCGTTTGGGTCCATCTCATTAAGGATTTTCGTGTTTCACTTTTATCTGCAACTGCCATAAAAGCTGCACATCTGACTCCTGTTGCAGAGAAGAACCAAGATTTCCTTTATTCGGCCACGCAAAGAAGAAAGCAGGGTCAAAGTTCTCAGCTGGTGTTTCTGTTCAGCAGTAAACCAGGGGTGATAGAGGACTTATACGCAGAGCAGGAGGTAGGTGGCAGGAGATTTTATTTGGACTCAAAATGCTTTTATATCTAGGTAGAGAGATCCAGTTACACGACTTATTTGAGTACCTCTAAGGAGGTTAAGTATTGTTACGATTGCGATTTCTTGAGTCAAAGGTATCCTACAGTCTGAGTGTTGGCTCACAGACCGATTTCTTCAGCTGTCATCATGCTGGGCCATGCCAGAAACCAGCCTGCAAAACAAATAGAGCTTTAAAGGCTTGCTCTCAGGCGTGACAAATTGGGGGTGTGAATGATGCTAAACGGAGGAGACTGCAGAGTCCCACAGAAAGGGGTGGGGCTCCACTAGATAAAGCTCGTCGCAGCGGGCCCGCCTGAAATCTCTGCTGGACACGGAGATGAATTCTTTGTGGCCCTGGATGTCCGGAGATGTCTCCCAGGTCTTCCGCCTGGCTGCAGTGTTGTGCCTGACCTACGTGTTCCTGAAAGTGGCCCAGCTCTACAGGAAGAAGCAGGAGATACACCGAGTGTTAAAGAACTTCCCTGGCCCTCCTGACCATTGGCTGTATGGGCACGTCAAAATGGTAAGCTGGCAACTGAGTGTGTGATCTGTGTGCATGCTGGTGCATGCTATGTGTGCGTGTGTGCATGCTATGTGTGCATCTGTGCATGCACACAACCCCAGGGATAGCTCAGCTTTCAGCTCTATGAGCAGAGCAGCTGTTGGAAGGCAGCTGGGCGGGGGTGCAGACAACGGACTGTATGTCGACTTGCTTTTCCTTTCTTTGAATCCTTCCTCATAGGAATCCACTGTCACTGAAGGCACAGGGGTTGTGGGGAAGGGACGGGTTCTCCATAAATAAGAGACTTTTTTGATTTTTCCTTTTAACCTTTTCAGACTTTGCTCCTGTGGTCTATAGCTCATGAAGACAGTTTTTCCCTTTTTTTGTTGGTTTATTTTTGTTTGAGATTTCAGGACCCGACTGAACGCAAAGAGCCCTTGTCATGTTTTGGAGATCCTCCCAGCCCTGAATGCTGCATAAATCAGCAACAGATTTCCCAAGACAGACTTTTTTCAGAGGGGTTGTGTGAGAGTTTGAGCGCTTAGAAAACAAGATGGGACATATTTGGGAAATAACTCACGGGATGGATCAGGCTCTGGTGACTGGGGGTTTCAAAGCAGATTGCAATTCAGAGCGTAGAGAGAAGCACAGCTCTTTTGGTTTCTACCTGCATGCTCAGATCCTGCACGGCTCCCAGCTCCAGGTCTCGGATGGCTTCACCTCCTGCCCTTGCTCCTATACCTTGATTTATACTCCCGGTCCCCACATTATCTCGCAGCAGCTCTCGCAGGCCTTGCAGGGGCTGCTTTGGCCCTTAGCAGACTCTTCCTCAACACTAGCGGGTCGTGGTGAGCTCCATGGTGAATCCTGTGGACTTTTTAAGGTCTGCAGGTAGACAAAGTTGGGAGGGACAGCATGAAGATGGTTGTTTGCAAAGGGATCCGTTCTTCTGGACGGTTTTAGTATGCATCAGGTTGTTATTTAGAAATAACAAATGAAAGAAACATGTTGTGAAACATGCCATGTATTGGCTTCTCAAATGTGGTGAAGGCATTTGCATTGGACGAAAATCAGCCCTTTAAATTCCCGCAGGTCTTGGTGTGCTTCACAACGAGTGGTTTATTTTCCAAGTTCTTTCTACTTGTCAACATCCACTTTTCAGATCCAGTCTGAATAAACAGACTTCACCTTTTACAGAGTACTAAAGGTATTTGCTAGTCATGGCAACAGATAAGAAACCTTTACTTGTGGTTTTCTATACTTCAGATGGAATTTGATCCTTCTTTATTCCCCGCTCCACTCCAGAATAACGTGCAAGCTCAGTCATTTCTTCTGATGCATATCTCTTCTTCCCACTTATTTAGTGGTAAACAGCAGACCACTCCAGCTACTGCTTAAAATCATCCCCATCAAATCGTGCGCCAGGCAAGGACAGCACCGCCAATCTCTCTGCTGAATTAACATAGCTACTGATTTTTAACCAGCACGTGCCAGACTGCTCTGCTTCTCGTAAAAAGATACAGCACAGCATGATAACAAATGCAATGGAAATGCTGGGAGTGCATTTGCACTCCTTCCATCTAGCTTGCCTCCGAACCACAAATTGTTACATCCACTAGATCACAGTTTGAAACCATGCTTCGTCTTTCTGCAACTGGCTGCCCGTCTGAGGAGAATGGGAATCCATTCCTGCTTCATTTCCACATGGACGTTAGCAGATATGACTGCCTCCAAAACTGAAAGCAGGTCTCAACTACTCCCCACTTTCCCTTTGCTGCTATTGCAGGATACAGCTGTTATAGTGGTTTCTGCTCCAGGAAGAAAAACAGCCTTACCACTGCAAATGTATTCTCTCCACATGTATTGCTTAATCTAAGCTGAACCTTAGGTTTCTATAGATAAAATCCACAGATAGGATCCTTTATTACATTCCTTTCCCAGCTATTACTACAGAGTTATTAGCCATAATGCAGTTGATACCGGTTATTAGCATGTCTGATCTCTAAGCTCCTTCCCTGCACTCTTGCAAGCCCAAATTTCACACCCGTTTTCAGACACTCCACAGTCCCTGTGTCTCTGAGGCCAAGTAAGTGGTACAGTTTTGGGTCCCCTATTCTCTACTTCTCTTAGCATGTCTTGACCTAGCACCCACTATTCCTTTGCACTTCATAGATCCTGGTGTATGCATTGAGTCACCAGTTTCCCCTTGATGTAGTTTAACAGCTCTAAGTCAAACGAAAACCATAGGGCTGATCTTTGACTAGAACGGAAAATCCTGGTGGAAGTTCCTCTCTCAGTGTAGAAAAGATGAAACATTAAGGTAGAGAGACAAAGCTTAAAAGTACAGTCTTGAATTCATAACCACCCTTCCTTTCCCCCTCCCTGGGTTGGGCATTGTAATGATCTATTCCCCTTAATTTTTTGCATCATTGCATACCTGTTTTTCTGGCTAACTACATTTCGTATTCATCTCCTCATTCAAAACTGTCATGAATCAGGGTAGAATGAATTCCCTTTCCTGAGGTTTTCACTACAAAGTTCATGTTGGTCAGCTGCTATCTTTCTTTTCTCTTGCAAGTCAAAATTTATGTCCTGGGGCAAATTCAGCACCAACTAGAGTGACTCTGACCCCCTTTCACTGATTTTCATGTGCAAGTCCAATCGGGCATGCATGAAATAGTCGTGTCTCTTCTTTCGGTCTCCTTGTAGCCCTTAGCTGTGCTCTGTCTTGTTCAGCAGTGGCACCAAAAGATGTCTCAAGGGCCTATTATCGTAGCTGGATGGTTGGGTTGTTTTTCCAAGGGTAATATTTGCAACATTATCAGAACTGGGCCACTGAACCTTGTTTCTTGAGATCTCTTTTCCCAGCAATTCATTAGGGCTTTGAGGATGAACAGAAAATGCCCACAAGGAATATTACATCATCCTGCACTGTGCGAGTTGGGACAACCTGGCATTTCTCCCAGCCCCTACAGGCAACAAATGGGGAAGCAGAGTGTTGTAAATGGCTAACCTCACCCTCTCCATGGCTCACTTGTATGTATCTGACTTTGCCTGTGGTCCACACCTCTTTGCATTCCTTCTCAATGCATTTCCCCATTCCTTACATCCTTGCTGCAAGTTCATTTCTGTTATCAAGCTGACCAATGCTTTCTGGGCTTCCAGCGTTTCATGGAAAACTCTGTGCTCCATGGCAGACAGGTCACTCGTCCTTACTCCATCTCTCCTGCTCTTGCAAGAGCTAAGCTTCCCAATCTATTTTTTAGGTCCTACTTGTGGCGGAGCACCTTTGGGGTGCTCGCCATGTGGCAGGGGCTGCAGTAGGCTGGGACAAAGCCAGCAGGGAAGGCAGCCAAGCAAAGCCCCCAAAATGTCATTCTAAGGGGGGCAGTGTGTGGCAGAGCATCTTTGGGGTGTGCTCCCCACTTGTGGGCTCTCACAGGCTCTGAGGAGAGTCTGCTTTGGAGGAGCAGCTGGGGAAACCTCCCCCAGGACCTATTTTAAGGGGGAAGGTGTGTGGCAGGGTACTGTTGGTGCCTGCCACTTTAAGAGTGGAGCCAAGCAGCCAGCAGGTACTTGATTTTCATGGCCGTTTTAAATCTCTGGCAGTTCGCTGCTGATGAGAGAGGCAGTAACATTGCCTGGCTGCAAGGCTGCTTGGAACATCCTGGAGATAAGGGCAGGAGCTGTAGGGGTTGGGTTGGAGGCTCCTGGTCCTGGGCATGACCTAAAACTGCACCCTGCCAGGAGTGGGTGGCCTGGTGGGGCTCCCAGTGGTGCAGGAGCCCCCAGGAAATGCCAGGCCCATTACCATCCCGGTGAAAGGTGAGTAGGGGCACCTTAACCCTAGCCCTCACCTTCAGGTGGGCTACTGAACCCCAGAGGTAGTTGGGGCCAGGCACAGCTGCGGCCACCTGAGCCCTGTGAGGTGCAAGACCCTGAGGAGGAAGAGTGGGGGCCACACATGGCTGCAGCCACCTGAGCCCTGTGGGGTGTAGGACCCCGAGGAAAGGTAGTTGGGGCTAGGCATGGCTATGGCCACCTGAGCCCACTGGTGAGGGGAGCCCTGTGGCCCCAGTGAGGGGGGCAGTGATGAGTAGCTCGAGTGAGGGGATGGCCCTGGTGAGGGGGGGCAGTGGGAGATGTGAGGCCCTGGTGAAGGGGAGTAGATCTAGGTATGTCTCCGGACACCCGAGGCTGTAGTTTGGGCCTGAGGCTGAGTAAAGGGGCTCAGTCTGAGAGAGAGGGGCGAATCCTGACCCTGGTAAGTCCTCCACTGCTGGGAGGCCGAGTGTGGGTCAAAAGCAAGACCTATAGTTGCGCACAATGACATGCTTCTCCGGGGGGGAGTGCGAGTCCCCATGAGACTCTGGAACACCAGTCGTGGTGTGAGTTAAAACCGCCCCGATGAGGGGTGGCCCTAGAAAGGAGGCAGAGAGGAGGGACCCCAGTGGGGGAGAAGAACTAGAAGGCTGGGAGTGCTGGGAGTATATAGAGTTGCCCTGGAAGTGGCCAGGGCCTGCTCGGGTAATTGGCTGGCCACTATCCTGGTGAGGGTTGTGGGAGAGGCCCAAAAGATGGTACACCTGCCACCCAAGGTATGAGCTAGCTAAAGCCTATGGCCTAAGGGTCCTGCTCCAAGAGGGAGCAAGGCAGTACAAGTTGTTGATGCGTAAAAGAGACCCTGTGAGAGGGTGGAGTGTGAGAGGAGGGCGGTATGAATGTGTGTGGGTCTGAGGCCTGACAACGAGGCCTAAGCTTGGTCCAACTGTAGGCCAGGAGCATTGTCATCTGGATGCAGATAGTGCTCCCTGGCATCAGGGCAAGAATGGGCAGACTCCCACCTTAATTAATATCTTAATTAATTAGCAGCAAGGCATGGCAAGCAAGACAGGTGGGGGGCGTTCCCAAAGGCAAGTAGGGAAATGCACTGTGACTAGTCAGGGAGTCCCACTTTGCCACACTGCTAAACCAATGGATTCATTTCCTCACGCATATCATTTCTCAGCCTTTATTGGGAAACCTTCGGCCAATGATTTTACTTTTGAGAAGCCTCCACAGCTCCTGCTTCAGATTTTGTCTTCAATTTGTTTTTAAGTCCTTTTGCAAAGTCTTTTGCTTTTGTTTCAGGTTCTTTCGGTTGTCCTACAGTTGTGCAAGCACCTTCCGTATTTGTGAGGATGGATCAAGGGCAGGGGTGGAGGGAGGGGGGCAGCACGGGTGCAGTTGCACCCTTCCTTTGATTCTTACTCCACCCACGTTTTAAAACCAATTGCCTGGGAGAGGCAGCAGCATTTCTATTCATGCACCAGTGGGAGAGTTAATAGTCTCCATGGCTCGTTATCATCTCTCTGATTCCTTCTAATGTCTCTCTACTCCACAGGTACTGATGACCCTCTCTCCTTTTTAATCATCTTAATGTTTCATTACTCAAACTATCCTTTCTTCTGCGGTTTTGCTGTCTGTTAGCTATTTCTGGTAACGGCTCCCTTCTATTTCATAGTCCTGCTGAGGTTCTTTTGGGAAAGTAATATCTTTTATTAGATCAACTAACTAATTGGAAAAATTGTTCTTTGCAAGTCCTTGGGTGCAAACACCCTTTGCCCAGAACAATTTTTCCAACTATTTAATTGGTCTAATAAAAGATATCACATTTACTCAAAGAACCTTGTCTACCTGTGTCCTTAGACCAACATGGATACAACCAACAACTCTATAGTGCTGCTGACTGTTTTTAGATCTAGCTAAAAATCTTAACTCAAGTGTGGTAATATTAACTCAGTTATAGAAAAGACTGACAATGAAGGACTGGAGGCACTGTCAAAACCTTCAAGAAGGCTAGAATTTCTTTTGTGATTCTGAATAAGAGATGTGCCTTTAATGATAATGACTACAGGACTACTGGCACAATACCTTTTAACTATTTTTTGCCTAGTTTGTTGTGCTTTTTTTAAGCTTGATAAATTATTTGGTAAATTAACACACATTCCATTAGTTATCTTTGTTTTTGCTTACCTCTTAAACTGAATAGTATTAGCCCCCTAGGATATTAGTAAAGCTTCTAGTTTTTCTTTAACTGGAGAAAAATGTGTTGGGTTGTATGTCATGATGTGCCACATCTTCTGCACCCCACTTTTCAAAATCTTAGATTTGCTCATGAGTATCTGTTCCCATCTTGGCCCCAAGCTGAGGACATTTCCCTATCTTGTTTCTTGCCAGATAGATGACTCTTCACATACTAGTGTTATACCAAGCAATTGGCCAGGTTCTAGATTACAGGTTGTTTTGTTAGCAAGAGATGTTGGTAATGGATTTTGGTATTTCTTTGGTGTAATCCTGTTTATTTAGAACGGTCTGCTATTTCCATCATACTGCAAGTCTACGTAGCACCAAACGGTGTCACACAAATGAGCCCTTTCAAGCGACCCAGTCATAAAGCTGGCAGCTCAATGCAAGCATGTAGCATTATACTTATTTTTTATAGATTCAGAGAAGATGGAGATGTGTACGGTCTTGTTTGGGCAAGAAGTTGTTGGGTGAAGCACGTGTTAACAATGGCTGGAAAACATTTTGACAAAGTCACTACATGTGGTCATCCGCATGACTGAGTTTTTTTTCCTATTGGAACCCAAGCACCTTCAAAGAAGATTCTGAAAGTCAAGACAGGTCCCCTTAAATGAAGCTTTGCACTTTGCTGAGCTAGCAGGTTTCCTTCCAACTCTGCCAGCCAGAGATATTCAACAAACACACAAGGCAAGGGCAGAGTCTCTTATGTTTTGTAACAGAGTTAACTCAACATTAGGGTCTAAGGTTCACCATGCCAGGACAAGTCAGCTGGGTGCCAAAGTCCAGGCCCCCAACACTCCCAGTTTGGCAAGAGAATCCCCCATTCCAAAGTCCTGCTATTGCTAATCTTCCCAACTTTCAGTTTCAAGGGCCTGCTCTTCAGCTTGTGCACATGGATATAGCCCCATTGACTTCACAGGAGCTGTGCCAATTTATGCCAGCTGAAAATCTGACCTTACATGTTCACGTAAAATGGATCCTGACTCAGCTACATGACTGAACTCAGATTGGAAGCTACTGAGCCAAGGTGTATCCAAATGGCTGGGATGATGTAGTTGGGGCTGGTCCTCCTTTGACCAGGGAGTTAGACTAGATGTGACCTCCTGAGGTCCCTGCCAACCCACATTTTCTGTGATACTATGAAATGTTTCCTGAAGGTGGAGGAAGAAATGGAGTGCAAGTCAGAGTTAAGGGTCCCCAATTGGTAACTCAAGGCAGAGCACAGAGCTAGGGGACTTTTAGAAAGAGCCATTACTGACCAGGGCTTAACCAACACTGACTGGTTCAATCTTTTCTCTTCTCCGCACCTGTAATGCATGTCTCTAATGAACAGGAGGCTTACTGGGCTTCAAATGATGAGAAAAGCCTATTCAATTGTTGCAATATAAAAATAAAAATGCACGCTCCTCCCTGGGCCTTCTAGTCCATTGTCTGTTCTGATTATGTCATTTTTCTGCTTTCCTGGCCTCCAAGGATATTCCCCATTCAGAGTGTACTGCTAAATATCTGCCTTGAACTCCTATTTCCTTTCATTGAATAACACAGCTTCACCCAGAGGAAGAACTAGACAACACTGAATCCTGGGCACAAAAATACCCACGCTGTCACCCATTGTGGTTTGGAGGTTTCTTAGCATTCTTGAATATCAACCATCCAGAATATGCCAAAGCTATATACAGCAGAGCAGGTAAGGGCACTGCTTTCAATATCTAAGGATAATTCTTTATATTACAAAAATCATGAAACGGTGAGAATAATATCCTTGCTGAGTGCTTCCTATGCCTGAAGAAGAGTGATTGCACCCATAAGCTTGCAAAAAACTTCTTTCCAACTACTCAGTTGGTCTAATAAAAGATATCGCATCTACCCAAAGAATCTTGCCTTGCTGAGTGCATGTGTTTATGAAGTGTCAGACTCTTGTATAAGTGCTTTTTTTTAGGCACAGCTGGTGAACTCAGAGTAGTGGGGTGGGTGGAGCATCACACGGGAGCGAGGAGGAATTGGGGTTTGCAGCCGGCCAGGAGCAGGGAGACTGCAACCCTTCCTCACCCCTCCGCTGGCTGCATACCCCCCTCTCCCCTCTCCTGTGTGCCACTCCACCCACCCCACCAGTCTGAGTTCACCAGCTGTGCCTACTTTTCTTCCTGATGGTAAGTGGGATTCTCCAGGGTTCTGACCTGGGTCAGGTATTTTTTAATATCTTCATTAATAATTTGGATGGTGGGATTGAGTGCATGTGCAGCAAATTTGTAAACAACACCAAGTTGAACAGAGTTGCAGATACTCTGGTAGGATCCAGAATGACCCAAATAAGCTGGAAAATGCTCCACAACTAAACAGATGAGATTCAACAAGGACAGGTGTGAAATCCTGAACTCAGGATGGAATCATTGCACGTATAAATGCAGACTGGGGAATGACTGGCTAGGCGCAGCACTGCATAGAAGGACCTGGGGGTTACAGTAGATCATGAGAGCTGAATGAGAGGCAACAATGCTCCTGTTGCTAAAAGAGCCAAGAGCATACTGAGTTGTATTAAGAGGAGTGTCACTTGAAAATCAAGAAAAGTGATTCTTCCATTCTATTCAATACTGGTGAGGCCTCACCCGGAGTCCTGTGTCCAGTTTTGGGCCCCACACTTCAAGAAGTATGTGGACGGTTTGGTAAGAGTCCAATGTAGAGCGACAAAAATGATTAGGAGCCTGGGAGGCAAGACTTATGAGTAAAGGCTGAAAGAACTAGAGGGTTATTTAGGCTGGAGAAGAGAAGACTGAGGGAGGATTTGATAACAGTCTTCAAATACCTGAAGGGTGATTCCAGAGAGGATGGAGATGGGCTTTTCTCTGTAGCCATAGGGGATAGGACTAGAAGCAATGGCATCAAGCTGCGGCAGAGGAAATTCAGGTTAGAGATGAAGAGGAAGTTTCTGACTGGGAGGGTGCTCTAGCATTGTATCAGGTTACCTAGAGAAATTGTATCATTTCCATCCTTGGAAGTCTTCAAGAGCAAGTTAGATAGACACTTGGCTGAGATGGTTTAGTCAGGGATGATCCTACTTTGAGTAGGGGGCTGGACCAAATGTGACCTCCTGAAGTCCCATCACCTACTACTTTTCTATGAACAGAACAGCTGCTATTCAAATAAGTTTCCTTTATGTTAGGGTGGAAACTGATGCAAAAACAAGCAAAAAGAAATGTTAAAGTGGATATATAAAACTCAAATTCTGTCATTTAGATAGAGCATTAATCTAGATTGAGGGCTGCATTCATGAACAAAACATTTCTGGAGAGAGGGAATATTTAGTTACACTTCATTAAAATTATCCATTAATAAACATTTGATAAAAGATGGTTTAGTAGTAGTATTTTTTAAAAAAAATTAGTGCAACTGTGGCAGCTAAGTCCAACAAGCCAATGGGTTCCTTAGAGGTATTTAGGATACCTTTTTTCTGATGTAGCATCTATAAAAAAATACTACATATGTCTAATATGCTTGGAAAGTCCGTCAATCATTTATTAATACTTGATAACTTACTATTTATAAATAGAATCTCAAATATAAAGTGCAACATCTTTTCCTGCAAAGAGATTTTCCTCTCAGTATAGAGTTTGCTACTAAGAAGAATAAAACTGAGTGCATCTACATGTGCAAATAACGTGAAGAAATAAACTCTGGAGAAGTTTGAGATGGAGTAAACTACTCCCAAGTGCAGCATCTACACATGCACCCAAGACAGCAGCAATATGAGCCTGGCTGGCAGGGGACATGTACTATCTTACTCCCGTGTTCAGTTTACTGCAGTCTAATACCGTAGCACATGTAGAAGGTGACACCAACGCCATAGCTAATTAGTCTACTCTGCAGTAAAGCACATGTGTAGACGTGGTCACTCGGAGGTACTTTTACTAATTGCTTTACTGCAGCAGGGCCAAAATCTGAAATCCTTCTACAACATAAGGAGCTGCATATTGTCCTCCTGCTCATTTCACTGCGATAACATCTCTCTGTGTTATATTGAATTCCACAGATCCTAAGAGTTACGTGCCATATGTTTTCGCACTTCCATGGCTTGGTAGGTACTGTTATGTCTTGTTCTTACTTATGCTGTGCAGAAGTACTGCTAGAAAGAACTTTTAAAGAATTTTGTGCTGTGCAAATAGAGAGTGGTCCAATGTCCTTGTTACAACACACAAACACACACACATGCACACCAGAGAGGATTCGCTAACAGAAGTGCAGGAGAGTAGGGAGTTCAGAGTCCAGTCTGAATCATTTACATTAACCCATAGGTGTCTAACTCCTCCAGCCCCAGGCACTGGACTGGTCTGTAGCCTGGATCCAGATACATTGGAATTAGTGAGCAGGACCTGTCCAGTGGGGTGCTGTGAGCAGCATGCACCAATTCTGCTCTGGGGCTTGCACTGCAGGTGGTGGAAGGACTGGATCTGGTGCCACAGGTGCTGCCCATAGCACAGGGTGCTGGTTTGGGGAGCGTGCTGCATGTACTACCCCACTGGACCAGCCCTGTACTCAGGGGATTAGTTCAGAGGCCTCAACCCATGTGTGTTGCATGTTCCCCGTGCCAGCCTATGGTGCCAGGTCCAGTGAGACTGGCTTTGCACATGGTACGCAGGGTTGGTCCAAGACCCACAGTCCAAATCTACTCCACAGGCCACTGTCTTAAATTATCCGTTAAGTCAGTCTAACAAGATACCTCAGAGGTTTTGGAATATGTTATCAAGGGCTATCACTCCACGGTTCTGTTTGACGAGGCAGCACAAAGACAAACCCGTGTCCCATCAGAGTTCACTTCCAAGTACCTTTGCCTAGATTAAAAGTAGATGTGCCCAACTTTGCTTTTTTCTTTCCAATTTTCTGCAAAAAAAAAAATTGTGGGGGGTGGGGGCTGAGTCCATTTTGACATTTAGCTTTCTGATATAAATTATGGGGGGGTGGTATCTCCATTTTGACATTTAGTTTTCTGTGGGGAAAATACTAGATGGAATTATCTGGTTTGTTGCTTCAATTCTGATTTTTTTTTTTTTTTTACATTGGAATTTTCAAGTTCAATGAAACTAAATTCAAGCCTAAATTTCAAGTCTAAATTAAACTGCCATTTCATTTTGAAATATCAATTTGAAATATTTTGTGACAAAACTTCGCACAGAAAAACCCCAAGCTCATTTCCTGGCATTTTGAAATGAGCGCTCTTCCCTTCGATAATTCTGACAGGAAAGAAAATAATTGCATTGCAAGATGCTCATGTAGAAACCAAGTGCTTCTACTGAGGTCACCCAGCTAAAGAAAACTCTGTGATCATCCTAATGCAAGCACCTGACACATCTTCACTTAAGACCATCCATATTAGAGGTTAAACAGGCCACCTGAAATGAACTATTGCTTGCTAGGAAATGATCTAACCAGCTCTTCTATATCATGACCCCCCAGGAGAAGGATTGCTGCTTACAAGTGGAGCAAAGTGGTTCCGGCAACGGAAGCTGCTGACACCAGGCTTTCACTATGATGTCTTGAAGCCTTATGTGAACCTGATGGCAAACTCTGTCCGACAGATGCTGGTAGGAATCACTCTTTTCCTGTGATGATTTCAACCATCTCCTGCTCCCTACTCATTTATTAACATTTATAGCTTTAAGGTGATTTTAAAATCATTTGAATCCTATCTCCCTGCTGGGAGGTGAACCAGCCCTGGTATACGAGCAGTTACCAGGATTTCTGTGCTCTCATGGAAATCTCTCCCTTCTCACCTCACTCCCTTCTCTACTAGGACAAATGGGAACAGATGGCCACACCGGGTAAGTCAGTGGAGATCTTCCAGCCCGTCAGCTTGATGACTCTGGACACCATCATGAAATGCGCCTTCAGTCATCAGGGCAACTGCCAGACAGACAGGTCGGGAATGGATCCTCTCAAATGCCAGTGAAATATTCTTGTCAACCTCAAATCAGATTCAGTTCAGTATGGGGGTGTATGACTAGGGCTGAACTAGGTACCAGGTGGATGTCAATGCAAGTGGGCTGAATCCTGAGGGATTCACCCTTGGGATCTTCATGTCCTTGAAGTACTGGAGGGTGGTTGATACTAGGGCTGTGTGAAGCTTCAGTCCTCGATTTAATTCGGCGGAGATTCAGCCCGATTCGGTGGCCGAATCTCTGAATCTGAATCGAATCAGGAAATCCTTTAATCTCTCCAACAATTTCAGAGAGAGTCGGAAAGATTTGGCAATTCGGACATAGACAGATCTAAATGTTTTTCCTATATAAGTCAAGGTACCAGGTAGGTCATGAATGCTGTGATGGTGGGGCACATGGAGCGTCCCACGGGAGCATGGGGGGGTCCCCAACGCGCTTCAGACCTGGAAGTGGTCCAGAAGCACTTCCAGTCCACTTCCGGGTCCACTGGGGAGCATGCAGAGGAGCTCCCCCATGCCTCCCTGGCTCAGCAACTGGTGCCTCCTGGGTCTGGGGGGCACCCAGGGTCTCCCCGTGGCTGATCACTGAGCCTGGGGGGATGGGGGGCACGAGGAGGCCCCCTGTGCGCTCCCCAGTGGACCCAGAAGTGGACTAGAAGAACTTCTGGTCCACTATTGAGCACACAGGGGGCTCCCCGGCACTCCTGTGGTATGCTTCATCCACCCCAGCATTGCAGCATTCACGAGCCATGCCTGGTACCTCGAGGTATGTAGAAAAACATTTAAAGTTGTGTCTGTGGCTGAATTGCTGATTCTCCAAATCAGCATCAAATATTCAGGTTCAGATTTGGCCAAATTGAAGCAAGGACAGTGATCCCAATCAAAGTATTGAATCAATGTCCCTGATTTTGTCTGAAATCCAAATTGAATACAGCCCGGTTTGCACACCCCTAGTTGATACACCTCAGGCAGGGGGGATTCACCACCATGTGCCACCCGGATCCAGAACCACTGTTAGGAAATCAAATGCAGAAGCCATGGAAGTACTGATGAAATCAAGAGGTCTTTGATTAGAGAGTGTGAAGAAATTGAGATTTTTTTTTTTTTGCAGTGTATTTGAGGCACAGAATATCATTGAAGACCAACAAAATCTGACTGATATACAGCTAATTCTGTTATATGGAGACCTGTACCTCATAAAGAGCTATAACTATTTATACATTAAATACTTGTACATGTAGCCAGGTATGATTTAGGAAGATGATTGGTATGTTGGAGCAAACGTATTCCTGCATGTCAGCATTTTGGTTTTTATTTGGAAGAATAATTGCTCTGAAGAAAATCCTATTTTATTCCAAAACTCCTGAATAGCTCTGTTCCATACAACTGGGCACAGGGCTCAGATTTTCTCCAATGTGGGGCATAGTATAGTGTAACACCATGGCCTGAGTCAAGGTGTTTCCCTGGGTTATTGTTTCTCTATGCTCAGACACAGCCTAATACTTTGGGAGAAAAGTGATTACTCCCAGGACCATGATGCATAGAAAAAGCCCGTTCCTGTTTGCAGTAAGCCATGGGGTACTCGTTCCTTCGCTACACCTTCCTGCTGTCTTCTGGATATTTCTCCCAGTGCAGTCCTATTCATTGAAGTTTTTGTCCATCTCCATCCTGACACTTTCTGCAGTGGCAGTGAATATATCCGAGCAATCTTCGATCTCAGCGATATGATATACCTGAGGATGCGGACACCCTTACATCAGAACAGTCTCATTTATTGTTTTACTTCTCGAGGCCGTCGCTTCCGCCAGGCCTGCAAAATAGCGCATGACCATACAGGTATTTCCCTGCATCTTCTTCCCACCTCTGGTTTAGGTTGCATGCCGAAATGAGAGCCAAATCCTGTAGACGTCACGCAATATTTATAGAACCAAAATTCTCATTGAAACCACTAGGAATTTTGCTAGCTGGGAGATGGGGGTTTTTGTGGAGGATCTGGAAGAAACACGTCTTGGGTACAGTTACAAGCAGTTTCTTTATAGGCACAGCCACAATTATTAAGTATAAAAATTGTTAATTCATCAATGTCTTTGAAGTGAAAACACTACACTCTTTTCATCCTCTTTCCTAAAGTAGCAATATCATTCATGAGCATTGGTTGAACTGGTGAACTCATGAAAGACACTTATGAACTGCAGAAACTGGTCTACAGAGCTCATGCCATAAGCAGGACATTCGGTATTCATGTATTTCCTGTGTGTCAATCTTCTGATTAAAAAAGATCCTGCTTTTCAGTAGGGACCAGAAACAATACCAGGTGACTAAAGTGGCTGCACCTAGAATCTGTTAGAGTGAACAGACTGCAACAGTCAATGTTTGGAGAGCTCTTTGGTACAACTATGAGTACTTAGGTATAATTAGGATGGTCGCAGCAATTTACACTGCCCCCCAGCTAATTTGCTTAAACAAAGGGGAGTTATTCCTGATGAGTGTTATTAAGAATGAGTGCAGGTGATCCTGTTGCTGTTCTGGTTCCTTGAGGCCAATGGAAGCCATGCTGAATGATTCATGTGGTTTCACTCTCCATGAATCAGAAGGAATCTGGTTCTGACCTACTTTGACACCTATATGGATTTAGGGAATCGCTCTACATGGCCATCACATGGGACACACAACTTTCACCTATTTTCTGATGCAGATAAGGTGATCGAAGAACGAAAGAAGGCCCTCAAAGATGGGCTAGTGCTTGAGGAGATCCAGAAGAAGAGACATCTGGACTTCCTAGATATTCTTCTCTCTGCCAAGGTGAGTGTTACAAGCACCCATGTGACTTATGAGAGCCGAGAAAGGTAACCACTGTGAGACACTTGCACCTGGGGAAGTGGTCTTTCCTGTCTAATTTCTCAGAGGATAAGCCTAACATTGATTGGCCACATTTATCAACAATGTACAGACATATTTCTCCAATGAAAACCTAAACTATGGAGCACAACTTTCGTACCCATGGTGGAGCTGGCTTTGCATCTGCAGCTGCTGAATTAATGCACAGAATCCCTTTTGTGCAGGGATGCCACAGAGTAGCTAGAGCCTTGCTCGCATGACCAGTCATCTGGCCATTTTGGGTGGGAACCAAGGCCAACCTCATTGACACACACTTTATTCAGCTATGGTCCTGGGTATGACTGTAAACTGCATCCAACTGAAGGACTGGTGGCAACATGGTGGGGCTACTCGTGGTGGGGTAGGTCCTATAAAATACCACAATGTCCAACCTCCCGAGTAAGGCGAGTAATAGGGTGCCTCAAAACCCTAGCCCCTGCTGCTTTGTGGGCAGTCCTTGGTTGGAGAAAGGCCAAGGGACATCACCCCGTTAAGAACAGCTGCTGACTGCCTAATGCCTCACCAAGGGTGCATTTCTATCTGTTGCTGTCTGGCAGAAGCTACAATCATCGAGGCATTGACTGTCTGGATTTGGTTTGGCCTTTGAATACTGTCTCAATGGTTTAAAAAGGGGCTGATAGGTCTTGGGCAGCCTCCACTCCTCCATATTCTTGCCTAGGCATACAGGCCAAAGGTCTTGGTGTGATGGTCACAGGACTCCGTGTAAGCAGATATATCATGCACCTGACTAGATCTTTTACATATAAGTCATGATCCAGAGGATCAATGATTGCCTACCATATTCAGTGCTCTTATCTATGATGTATTTATGAATTTTATTGATATGGAAACAAGCCTTTTATCTGAGCAGTGAGGGAACAACGACAGTCTCTGAGCTGACTGTATCATGGGCATCCCTTCCTATACTAAATTTCAATTCTTAAAAAGACATTTTGCACCAAATTGAGGGGTGGGGGGGAATGATTTTTTTTTTAAATGAAAGTGATTCCCCCTCTCTCTCTCCTCCCACCCAAATCCATCCAGTATGTGTAAACAGAAATGGAGAAATCTAGCAAATAGCTGGATTGCTCCAATGTTCAGGCTTCCAGACAGCTACAAAGTAAGGGTATCAGGTATCCCAAGGAGCGCTATGGACTGCCTTGGAGCCAGGCAGGATCTGAGGACCTGGGAGACCTGGAGAGGGGGTCAGGAAGGTAAGCTAGCAAGAACCATACGGATCTAGGGAATTGCTCTACATGTCCATCATACGGGGGCACAACTTTCACCTATGTCTGATACAGGTAAGGCAATCAAAGAAAGAAAGCAGGCCTTCAAAGATGGTCTCCCATGTGAAATGTTGAAAGAACCCACATATTCCCACCAAGCACTTTGACTACCTCTGACTTCCTGTCTGACCAGCTCTGGTAACCAGACAGCATTTGAACAAGCCATTTAATCTGAATCTTCATTAGGGCTGCATACAGCACCCTTTCCCACCCCCACATAGTGGGGGAGCTCTATCAGAGTGAAGTTGCCGCCCAATGGAGAGGGGTTTTTAGTGCTCCGCTAAAGCCTGCTAAGCAATGCAGTAGATATCTCCTGATCCCTCAGGCCCTTTGCATGGTCGGATATGAATGATGGGCAGTGAGAGACTCAGTTTTCCCTTACTTCTCTCCGACCTCCTGGAGGTACTTCTAACGCAATGAATGCATGGAACGAGCAGTTCTTGTGCTCCCAGGATGGATAGGCATACACTCATATCTGGATGCTGCACAGGATTTCCCCATGGAGAAGGGTTGTGCTCAGGCTGGAGGGAAGATCTGTCCCACAGTAATTAACCCCCAGGTCTTCCTTTGCAAAATCTTGGCTATCTGAGCTCCAAGCAACAGGATGCCTCATAGCACCTTTCTAAGAGAGGCTCTAAACCCTTAATTGAGCCCTTGTTTGCTTAAAGGATGAAAATGGAAATGGATTATCCAATGAGGAGCTACGTGCTCAGGTGGACACATTCATGTTTGAAGGTCATGACACCACAGCCAGCGGGATCTCCTGGCTCCTCTACTGCATGGCTATCCACCCTGAACACCAACAGAGATGCAGGGAAGAGATCCAAGCGATCCTGGGAGACCGAGAGACTATCCAATGGTGAGACCTGGCTTTCTCCAACTCCTTCCTCCCTAGAAATCACAACACTGCCATTGCAGGGGATCTGGCAGTTCCAGATGCTGCTGCCAGTCTTTTGACTTTAGCAATAACTGCTGCTTTGTTATGACTGTCCACCTTTTAGCCACATAGCCTGGTGGTTAGGGCACTTGCTTAGTGGGCAGGAGACCTGGGTTCCAGGCATCCATCTCTCACAGGGGGTTGGCACCCACATTTCCTACTAGTTGGCAAATGGTCTCACCACCAGGTGACAGGTGAGGATTGTCCAGGCCCCTCTCTGGTGCCTCTCTGGAAGCTAGCCCCATCGGCAGCCAGGAGAGGAAGATATGTGCAGCCAGGAGGAGCAGAGGAAGAGAAGATGGAGTATGCTCAGAGTCATAGATGCTCTCCTGCAAGGGAGGGCGGACCTGCTTCTAGACGGAGCCCCAGCTCTGAACAGAGCAGAAGCTTTCCATGACCTGTTTGTGCATTTTATCCAATGAACATTAAATGCAAGATGCAATGGACTTCAAGAGAAGAGTTGGAGGGGGTCTAGGCAATGCTTGGCCCAGGTCCTGGTGGCTACATAGGCAGATTAATGGACAGATCAGCTGGGTACAGACCAATTCAGGGCCTCAGACCCTCATCAGCAAGAGCATGGCCCCTCCACCAATGCGACAGGATTGGGGGGGGGGGGGGGGGGCGGAGACTGAGGGCAAGCTGTCTGGGAGTGCAATGCAGTGCTTCTGTAGGTGATAGGAGGGCTTTGGAGGGCTATATCCTCCCCAAATCACCTTAGGCTACATAGCCAGCCCTCCCAGAGCCACCACCCACCTGCAGAGGAGTGGCGTGATGCTTCCGGCCCGACCTAGACCAGTCCGATGAAGGTGTGCGGCTGCATGGACACAGCTGGGCAGCAGCACCTTGTGTAACAGGGGCCGGGTGGGGAGTGAGACAGAGATGCGGGCAGCTAGTGGAGGGGAGAGGGCTGCTTCAGAGTGATTGGGAGTGGGGGGGGGGCAGAGGTCCTGTGAGGGGAAAGTGCATGGCTGCGGGGGGGGGTGGGGGGGCGCGCACGTGCATTTGCATGCATCTCTGCATGCATACGTGCCTGTGTGTGCATCTCTGCATGTGCATCTGTGTGTTTGTGTGCATCTGCGTGTGCATCTCTGTGTGTGCATCTGTGCACATGCATCTGCGTGCGCATCTGTGTGCATCTGCATGTGTGTGCGTGTATCTGTTTCTGTGTGTGCATCTGCATGTGTGTGCATCTGTGCACGTCTGTGTGCATGTGTGCATGCATGTCTGTCTTCATGACAGGGAGAGCATGTTTGTGTCTTTGTGTCTATGTGCAGAGAGTGAGTAGAGTGCGTGCCCATCTATGTGTGTCTGTGCACGTGTGTGTTTTTGGCAGGGAGAGCATGTTTGTGTCTGTGGGTACATGTGCAGAGAGTGAGTGAGAGTAGTGTGTGTGCCTATTTGTGTGCATGCCTGTGTGTGTGTATGTTTGGCCATAGTGGGGAGCAGGGAGAAGAGGCAGGCATGCCTCCCCTGCCAGCACCAGGAGGGGAAGGGGCCAAGGGGCCCCTTCTCCCCCCCACCTTGCAGCCTAGCTCTCATGGAGGGCAGAGGGCCTCTTATTTTGTGTTTGCCCAGGAACCCAGTACACCTTAATCTGCCCCTGGGTGGCTAAACCACTTTTCTAGAAAGCAAGAGATACAGGACTTTCAGGTTTAATATCTATGAACTCCACACAAAGACAGAAAGCAAAGGACTAAAGGTAGCCTATCCAGTCTAATCACCCTACCTTTCACCTCTTATAAAGCAAGGAGGAATGGAGGGGAGCAAGGCAGAACACGGCCTTCCCTCCTTCTCTGTTACAGCAAAAGTATGAACAGACACTGGAGGAGGTTAGATTGAGTTAAAAATGGCCATCTGACCTAAGGTAAATTGGGTTGGGGGGGCTAGTGGAAGGGCTTGGGGGGGGCTGGGGGGTGAGTGGGATCTTCAGATGGATTAGGGGACAAGTAGGATCTGTGGGGGGAGGATCAGGAGTGCTTTCCAGGAGGGATTGGGGGGCTAGCAGGATCTGTGGGGGGTTGAGAGGCTCTCTCCCCCCTGGGAACCCCTCCACCCTCAGATGAACAACCACCCCCAGTAAACCAACCCCCACCATCCTGCCCTCCCATCCCACACCCTGTCTTACTTCCTTGGCTCCTGGCACTGGTGAATGCTGGTCAAACGGCACTGGGAGCAGCTTGTGGGATGGGGCATTTGGTGAGCTTGGATGGGGGGGGAGGGAGGAGGCTGGTTGGTTCATGGGTGGGGAGCTTGTCTGTCTGCGAGTCGAATAAAGCTAAAAATAGCCTCGTGCTGGGCTGGGGTTGGGGGTAGGAAAAATGCAGCCCTGGGGTTGGGGCCAGCAGCTGGGCTTCCGCAGTACAGGGGCTGCACTGGGAACTGTACAGACGTTCAGTTAGATCAGTCTCGCCTGACCCCATCTAAGCGGGCACTTGTACGCATGACGATGAGATGACATTTTCTGAGTTTGCATCATTGGAAACTAAACTATATCCCAATGTAGTTTCATATGCAACGTTGCAATCTGGAGCATTGCAACCATTAGTCAGCTCACCCCTCAGCTGCGGGAGAGGTGGGCCGGCTCCGTGGAAAAAAAGGATCAGGCCCCTCGCCACTTCCTGCCTTCAGCAGGTGCCTGCACTCCCTGGGACAATCACATATATACAGTGATGGAAACTGAAATGGTGAGGTTTCATTTAAAAACTCACTCTTTCAATTGAGGGGTCATAGACCACAACCTGAAGGACTGAACCCCTGTTGTGTACAAGCGCTCAGTCAGACTACCATGGAGGTAGACTTAACTTAGATCGGGTCAGCCATTTTTAGCACACCTAAATTTCCTGAGCATCTCTACAGTTTGCACTTAGGTCCACCTAACTAGGGATCTAGGTATAAGGTCTGCACCTGGAAGAACTAATTTAGATTGGGTGGCTATTTTTAATGTGATCTAACTTCCCCAAATGTCTATATATACCACAAGAGGAAGAAGGCACATTTGTCTCCTTGGCTTAGTGAAGCAGTGCTTGCTTATAGACCCCCTCCACTGCTTTGTGAGGGTAAAGAAGTCCATTTAGAAAATTGGGCCAATAGCTCATTAGCCATGGTGATGTGCTCTCAGTCTCTGCCTTTGGTTTCTTTCAGGGAGGACCTTGGGAAGATGACTTATACCACCATGTGCATCAAGGAGAGTCTTCGTATTTACCCTCCTGTAGTGCTAGTTGGGCGGGATCTCGGTGCACCTGTCACTTTTGAGGATGGACAGACCTTACCAAAAGGTTTGCTGAGTTTTTTCCTCTTTCATTTCTGAATAGGCTTCTGTGTTCAAGCACATTGACGGTGTTGGTGCTCCTGTCTGATAGCTGTGTTTTACCTTTTGCTTCAAATGTATATCTAAGATCTCAAAGAAGTAGGGGGATTTGATTAGGGAGATACAGGGTCTATTTCCATGAATAAGAGGCAGTCCTTGGTTTTAAGCTAAAGATCAAGGGCAAATTCAGTCTATAAACTGTTCCATGTATTTTAACGAGAATGGGTGGGATGATAATATACAACTTGTTTAAAATCAGGTTGGGTTATAAACTGGAGAAGGTACCATAAAGGAAACCCCTGCACTGGTACACACATGGATCACATACAGTAGGACCCTTTTACCTCTAATATCTTCTGTGACTTTTATTCTTGGTATTTTTTCTTCCGCTTCTGATGATGACATATCCTAGAAGGTCAAAGCAGATCTTTGTTAGAAATCTTTAGCAAACTGTCTGTTCTGGCCTTCCCCTGCTCCTCACCATTGACAAAGGAATGAGATATCTATGAGCTCATTGAGAAACAAGGTTCTAGCGGGAAATAACTACTGAAAACGGGGCATAAAAATGAGATTTCTTACCAGTGTAATTCTGCAAGACAAAAGCAAATGAACAGGGCACCACATCATCCTTTTGGGTTTCTTCTTGTATGATGATTTATTTCTCTCTCTTGTTTTTAACAGGGTTTCCAGTCATACTGAGTATTTATGGTCTTCACAGAAACCCCACAGTATGGGACAATCCAAAGGTAGTTCTCCTTAGAACCAGATTCATCTATACCAGTGATTTTTCAACCTTTTTTAGATTCAAGGCAGCCCTCATGAGACCTGAAGCACCCTTAGGAACAGAAGAATTGTTCTATTATTTTTCCACAAAAAACCAAACAGGTGAAAGCTAAGAGCTGGCATTTTCAAAGAACTTGGAAAGACCACAGTGGGTCAGAATGTTTTTGGTGCTATGAATTCCCATTTCACATCTACATTTAGAGGCTGTATTAGTGGGAGTGTTGCCAGCAGATTGAGGGACATGGTTATTCTGCTCTACTCAGCACTGGGGAGGCCACATCTGGAGTCCTGTGTCCAGTGTTGGGCATCTCACTACAGAAAGGATGTGGACACACTGGAGAGAGTCCAGTGGAGGGCACTGAAAATGGTTGGGGACTGGGGGACATCTGAGGGAACTGTTCTTATTTATTTTGGAGAAGAGAAGATTGAGAGGGGATTTACTAGCAGCCATCAACTACATGAAGGGTGTTTCCAAAGAGGATGGAGCTGGGCTGTTCTCAGTGGGGGCAGATGACAGGACAAGGAGCAATGGGCTTATGTTGCAGCAAGGGAAGTTGAGGTTAGATAGTAGGAAAATCTTTCTTACTAGGAGGGCAGTGAAGCACTGGAACAGGTTACCCAGCGAGGTGGTGAAATCTCCGTCCTTGGAGGTTTTTATGATCTGGCTAGACAAAGCCTTGAAAGGATCTCGAGGCACTTCAGGAAGCTGCTCGTTAGCAATCACTGATCTAGCTTCAGGATTTGTACTTCTGGAAGGACTAATGTTCTAAGTCCACCCTGCCCTTTTATGGCAGGAATCACCAACCTATGGCCCGGGGCTGGATCTCACTCATATGGATCCAGCCTGTGGACCTGGAGGGCTTCAGCGGCAAGGGGTTTGACCCATGCTGCAGCCAGGCAATGGGGTGTTTGGCTGTGGGGATGATTTAGGAGCAACATCGCTGCATGCATGTAAGGGGTTGACCAGATAATCCTTGAGGTGCCATCCAACCCTAGAGCATGGAGTCAGATTCCCTCTTCCCTTAGTCCTCGGTATGGTTTCCCACTAGCTACCCAATGGCCTAGCTTTAACAGGAAGGTGCTGTCAGTTCTGCCTGGCCATTAGGTGGTTGCCCTCTAAAATGGAAGGTCAATGTTCAAGTCCCCTCAAGGTAAGACCTGGATCTCCAAAGTCTTTTTTGTTCTGGGTGAGTATCTTAGCTGCTGTGCTAAGGAAGGGCATCACCTCCTAAGTTGACAGTCAGGTACTTTCTGTTGATGGGTTTTGGTTCACTGTGATTTTAGGGCTTAATGCAAAACTTTGCTGTGATTCAACATCACCATAGACTCACCAGAGCTAGGTGGACATGCAAGCCTCTGGGGCAGTAGTAGAAAGTCACTTCCCAGCCTGCACAGTCACATAGAGGAAAATTGTGTCTCCAAAGAGCACTTAGATGAGTGCACACCAATCAGGCTATTGCACTTTGACTTCTTTTTCATTGTTAAGACACACATCACTTACACACCTTCTAGGTGTGATAATCACCCAGTGACAGCCTCTTTTTCAGTTTGCCGTACAAATGGTGACCCCTTTTCCTTCCAAAGCCATGGGAGGCCATT